GTCAGCCTTCCTGCTCCTACGATGTTGCTTGGCCTGCTGTGTTCATCCAGCTCTACACCTTGTTATCTCAGATTTTCCAGCATCTGCAGTTCCTACTATCTCTGTAGATGCACTATGCCTGTTTCAATGCAAAAATAAGTGACAGCCATTCAATGGTTCCTTTCTCTATGCAATAGTCTGTTCAGAGTCAACATCCTTGTTAGTTAACTGTAAATCAGCATTAATGGGTGAAGTCTTCGTGGCAATACCTCTGACAGTCCATTTGCCAATCAACACACTCCTCTCATGTGGTATAAATGCCAAATTTCCCCTGGAATTGATATTCTTAAGAAATGTCCTGAAGAGTGCAAGATGAAAAGCTTCAATCTTTTTTCTGAGCAATACTCAGGTCTGTTTTACCAAAGTACATAATTCATGGTAAAGTTTTTTTTAAAGCCCCAAGTTGCAATGCAAATTTAAGAAGTTCCAGAAGTATATAAGAATGATTCACTTCTATCATTCCAAATTTGTATTGCGGACTATGTTCACTTACAATACAAGATATACAAGAGAAGAGTAATTCCGTTTTTGATACAGAAGTTTGTCATTCAAGTACTGGAACAAGAGGGAGTAATTTTACAATCAACTGTTCCCACTGTATACCTGCTCAAGATGTTTTAGCCCTTCATCGTCATCGTTATCCTGAGGTATGTTCCGGTTTGCAACTGTTGTGATCGTAGGTGAAGAAGATACTGTAGTTGTAGTTGTAGCAGCTGTAGTAGTAGTGCTATTAACAGATTGAATTAAAGTTTTTTGATATGGGGCTGAGGTATCCATCACTGGAACACAAAAGAAGCAAGTTTTTATATCAATGTCAAAAGTTACCAAACAAAAACATGGTAATTTGATTTTTGGTAAAACAAGAAACATTCTAAAATTAAAATTAGAAAACACACTTCCATTCAGTTTGTTACAAAATATTCCACAGATTGGTTACAACTGCACTTAACGTTGCAAATCTGCACATCTATGTCTGAGCGGTTGGAAATCAATACAGGGTATCATTGGAAGCAATTAATTCTTCTAATGGATCACTCTACATCAAATTCAAGCATAAAGTACAAAATACCAAATTCGTTTTTCTTGAAGTCAAAGAAATCACATACTTAAACAATAGACAAACTGATTGCCAGCTATGAATAACTCTCCCAGAAAGAGTTACTCATTCGTTTACAAAAACATGCTCATAAGAAAGCATTGAACATTAATTCTTTTCATTCTTCTGTATTAGATAACATGTAGAAGTTAATATCTTCAAAAACAAAAGTCACAGATTTCCCTCATTATTTGCAGATGTTCTGTTAATTGTACCCATCCATGATCGATAGAAAAAGATTAGGATCGTGGAGTGGGAAATTAAAAATCAAAACTACAAGCAATGCAGTGTTGAGTCAAATGCACAAAACAAAGAAATGAAAATAGTAACAGAACAGTATTCATAAGATGCAGAAATTTTTGCTTTCTCTCTAAAAATCTAGCCAAAAAACTACAGATCAGCTGTCACACAGTAAAAACTTCCACAATTCACCTTGCAATTTAGAATTATATAAAGTTTGCGTGAAGCAGATTAGTTTTAAATTATTTTACAACAGTGCCAACCCTTTAAAACATTTAACCCAAAATCTGGCAAGTACATTAAAATGGACACCTGCAGCATTATTCATGTTGTTTTAAAAATTATTTTTCTAATCTCTCATTTTTATTTTGTGGCTTAGAAAGGAATTGATCCTAGGTTTCTTTCTAGGAAGGCACATCTCCAGTGCAGTACTTTAATGCCAAGTGATGAAATCCTTTTACAATCAGGGCCCTGCTCTCTCACCATACTTACATAGGCTAAGTTGGGAATGTATAAAGGAGGAATCATTTAAAGTATGCTTTTCTAGCATACCACGATTCCTTTCAAAGTTGGACTACTAAGAAGAACACCGTACTTCTATATGCTCCAACGTTACAAAAACTTTCATTCATGATGTAATTTATATAAAATCATACCTTCCTTGGCAGGTCTTTGTTGTGCATCTTCAGTTTCGTCAGGTTTTTCTTGCATCTTTTCTTTCCTTTCGGGAGGGCTGGCAACTATTGCTATCTGAGACTCCAAAGGAGATGGCAACGAATTTGTACAGGAAACATCCTTGGTCTCATCAGTTTTATTTGCTTCTGTAACATAAATACTGATTACTGCAAGTAATAGGCAATATCTCCATCTACATTCTGCAAGTAATCAAAAAGAAAATCAGAGCTCTTCCTGCCACGTTCCAGTTTTCTGCCCTACTTTAATGATTTGCTGAATCTCTGTCCAAAATAACCTTTCAACCAGCTTCTGGAAAGTGTATTTAACCAAAGATGATGAATAGATTTTAAAATGAAGACTTTTCACTAGATAAGTGGAATACAGTACAGAATCAGAAATCTTTACATCACATCTCAAGTTTAGATCTGATTCATCCAATGAATCAGAAGAAATATCCATGACTTGCAATTTGGAAAGAAGTTTGGACAATGGAGTCGTGCAGAGAAGTTGGTACCAAGTACGAAAGATTTTATCAGTAATAGAGAACAGCTCAGTTCTCTATTTACTAAAATCAAGAATAAGCAGTTCTGCTTTAACGCGTGTTTCGTTAACGCAAACTGGCTGTAATACGATTGATGAATAGTGGATGCCGTTTCGATTTTCTATAGTATGAGGTCACGCAAGAATGCAACAATTGTGTTATAGAAGAACTACCTATAGAATGTGCGCTTGCACGTGTGCATATATATGCAGGCATGTACTTAAATGCATGTACATGATGGGGTGTGATGGTTGGGGGCATTGTCAAGTCACCTGACCTAAAAGATCTTTGAAAGTATTTATACCAAGTACTCGGAATTCTAATATTGGTACAGAAAAGCAAAACTAGTCACTATCAGAAGACAATAACCAAGAACTCATCACAGGGAATACAGAGAAATTCCTTGAACCAGAGTGAACAAAGAACAGTACAGCACAGGAACAGGCCCTTCAGTCCACCAAGACTGTGTCAACATGCAATGCCTTTGTAAACTGAAAACTTTTTGCCTTCACATGGTCCATATCCCTTTATTCTCTGTTCACATCTGTCAAGATACCTCTTCAATGTTGCTACTGTTTCCACCTCCTCCAGCAGCGCATTCCAGGCACTTACCACCCTTTTAAAAACTTGCCTCATATCTCCATTAAACTTACCCCCTTTTACCTTAAACCTATGTCCCCTAGTAAATGACATTTCTATACTAGGAAAATGACTGTCCATTCCTCTCAAAATTTTGTAAACTTCTGTCAGGTTGCCTCTCATCCTTCAACATTCAAATCAAAACTTGTTTGTCCAGTCTCTCCTCATAGCTAATAACTTCCAAACTAGGCAACACCCTTGTAAACTGTTTCTGTACCCTTCAAAACCTCCACATCTTTCTTGTAGTATGGCAACCAGAACTATAAACAAACATGGCTTAACTAAGGTTTTTTATACTCTTTGCTCCAACTGAAGGTAAACATGCAATATGCATTCTTGGCCATCTTATCCACTTGTGTTGTCACTTTCAGGGAACTGTGGACCTGTATAACTAGATCCCTCTATATGTTGATACTACTAAGGGTTCTGCCATTTACTGTATACTTCGCTCCCACAGATCTTCAAAAAAACGCATCATCTTGCATTTGTACAGATAAGTCCACCTGCCATTTCTCTTCCCAGTCTCCAGACTATGTATATCCTGCTATATCCTCCAGCAATCCTCCACAGCTCTCCCAGTCTTTGCATCAGCACAAGTTTACTAATCAGACCACTTACATTCTTCTCCAAATCATTTATCTATATTTCAAACATGAGGGGTCCTAGAAGGACACCACTGGTCATAGATCTCCAGTCAGAAAAACATCCTTCCAATGCTACTCTGTCTTCTATAACTAAGACAGTTCTGAAACCACTAGCTCACCACGGATGCCATTACACTTGACTTTTTGCATAAGCCTGCCATGAGGGACTTTATCAAAGGCCTTGTTAAAAACCATACAGACAACACCCACCACCCTGCCCTCACCAATCATGACTGTCACTTCCTCAAAAAACTCAATCAAAATCTCAGATCATGAGACATGACCTTCCCTGCAGAAAACTATGCTGCTAACTTTAATAAGACCATATTTTTTAAAAATATGAAAAAATCGTAGCCTAAGAATCATCTTCAAAAATTTCCCTACAACTGACACAAGGCTCACTGACCTGTAATTTCCCAGATTAGCCCTGTTGTACTTCTTAGACAAAGGAACAACAATTGCCATTCTCCAGGCCTCTGGGATTTCTCCTGTGGCTAAAGAGGATACAAAGATTTCATACAAGGCTTCAGCAATTTCCTCACCTGCCTCCCTCAGCATTCTGGGACAGATCCCATCAGATCCTGTTGACTTGTCTACCTTATTGCTTTTTGAAACATCCAATACCAACTCTTTTTCTATACCACCACACCCCAGAATATCAACATGCCTCTCCTGAAACTCACCATCTATCATATCTTTCTCCTTTGTGAATACTGATGCAGAGTACTCAGTAAGGCCCTCACATACTTCCTCTGGCCCCATACATAAATCCCCTCCTTTGTCCTAGAGTGTAACCTATCCTTTCCCTAGCTACCCTCTTGCTCCTTACACATGTATAAAATGCCTTGGGATATTCCTTAATCTTGTTTGCCAAAGACATTTCACGGCCCCTTTTAGCCCTCTTAATTCCTTGTTAAAGTGCTTTCCTGCGGTCTTTGGAGGGTTCTGTTTGCCTTCAATTTCCTAAACCTTACATATGCCTCTTTTACCTTTTTGACTAAGCTCTCAATTTCTCTCATCATGCAAGGTTCCCAAATCTTGCCATCCTTCATTTTTACAGGAAAATGTTGGTTCTGAACTCTAAACAACTAGCTTTTAAAAGATTCTGACATGCCAGATGTGGATTTGCCCCAAACAGCTGCCACTAGTCTACATTCAACTGCCCAATATTCCTTCTCCCAATTTAGTACTTTCCCCTGAGGACTACTTTAATCTTTATCCATAAGCATTTTAAAACTTACAGAATTATGATCACTATTCCCAAAGTATTCCCCCACTGAAACTCTGAGTGGTGAGAATACCGAACTTATAAGCAGTAGTTGAGGTAAATTTCATTTCAAAGACACACTTAAAGGGAGGTTCAATAGACATATGGGGGATAATGGAACAGAAGATTTCAGAGTTAATAAGGAAAGACACATGGAAATTAATGGAGAATAGCATCACTATAGATAGGTTGGGCCAAATAGCCTGTTCTGTGCTATGGGTAATTCTATTTTTGTCCGATAAAATCGTGGAACTCGAGTGAAAAATGACTGATAAAAACCTTCACCAGCCTCCTCCTTGGTTCTCTTATCAGGCTCCTTAGCTTCCTCCTTCTCACTGTCCTCTGAATTTGATCTCTCTTCGCCATCCTCCATCTGCTTAACATCCAATTCCTGTTCCTCTGGAATGGGTTCTTTAGGAGCTTTCTATGAAAACAGCATCAAAAACATGAAAAAGTGTAAGATGTGTGGTAAAATACCTTTCACAGTTGTGCTTTTTTTAGCACAAGTGGAAGAAATGAAAACTTTGGCAATGTTATACTGGATAATGTTCAAAAATGCAGCATGTTATACAATTCCTCTCATGAATATTTTCTCTTTAGATGTTAGCCTTTGCTCAGTGGTAGCACAATGCCTCTAAGTAAACATTAGACATTCTAGCCCCTCTCGACAGTTTGGCACATAAGTTAGGTTGTCATTTGAGCAGGTTCTACATTTTAAGCATCATCTTTGGATGAGATATTAAACTGTTGTCACATGTGGATGTAAAAGATCCTACTGCATGATTCAAAAGAAAAATAGAGTTCCTCAGTGCCTGTTTATCTGATCAACATATTGTTTCAAAGATTTAACTAGCTCACGAATGCCCTCTGGGGAACCAAACTTGTGACCTTTACCCAGTTTGACCTATTTGTGGTTTCAACTACACTCCTTGGTGGCTGCCTCTGACATAGTATCTGAAATTGCCGGGCAAATTATTTGCATATCAAACCACTATTAGCAGCTCAAAAGGATGGCTCCACAATTTAAATGCTTAGGTCTTTAAATTTATAATCTAATCAACAGAAAATAATCTATTACGAAGAAACTTCAGATTTTGATGATTTAGAACTGGTGGTTGTGGGGGTGGTGGGGGGTCGGAGGGTGGGTAAGTAACAAGAACAACTAGGCCTGAAGCATTGTGGATTGCAAGAAAAATATCGATGATTCTAATTGTCTCTATCAGCCTCATCTCGGTGGCAGTACTCTCACAATAACTGGACTTTCAAACCATCATGGATTCAAGACTCATGAGACCTAAGAAACTAATCCAGAATAACACCTCAGTGCAGTCCAAGAAAGGACTGTGTTCCTAACGGTCACATCTTCCCATTCAAGCAGATATTAGAAGTACGATAGCACTATTTCAAGAGCAGGTTTGTTCTAGTGTCCTCCATTCATCCAAAGTAACTAAAAGATTATCCAGTTTAGTCTCATTCCTATTTCAATGGCTTTCTTTTTCACAAAATGGCTGTCATGTTTCCCAATATTAAATAATGATTTCAGGTTGAAATCCTTAAATCAACCAAAATACCTCAGCATGTCCTGAGATCAACTCTGGCTGATTCTTCATTTTCTAGAAAAATAT